GTATGAATCTACAATTATCTCAAAAAAATTTTTTAAGAAAGCCCTAACTCTAAATTGTACTCTAAGAAATTTGGGAGACCATGGTCAATATTGCCATAATAGAGTTTGCCACTATCCTGGAATGTGATAATTGAGCCCTTTAGAAGGCTCTTAACTCAGGCTTTAGTAGATTTTTTTGAACCACTACTCATGCTTAGTTAACATTATACGTGAAATATTGTTTCTTTTTTTTTTCTGGGGAGCTATTCTGTAGCTTTCATCAGATTTTCAAAAGGGCCATGACCCAAAAGAAAGATTAAGAACCTGTGCTTTTCCTTAAAATAATAAGTAATTTATTTATTTTCACCCTTTTTAACTCCCCCCACCCCACTTCCACCCTTGCCCTACAGATGTTGCCATCTCCCCTTATGAACTGGATCTCTGAAGGTGGGGTGTCTCCTCCCATGCACTTGTGGCTCACACCTGGGGCCTGGCGCACCCAGGGTATGGTCCATGGCTCCACCTGGGGTGCGAACCCAGGACCTTCTGTGTGTAAAGCAGACATGCTAACCACTACACTATGGAGCCACCTATAAGTAATTTAATAAAAATTGTTTTTCAGAACAAGGATTGTAAGTTTACTGGACCTGTGATTCCAAAAAGTAGTAGCAAAAAAAAGGTATAGAGCAGAGAATTGTAAATTTGGGAATAATAAAGTCATATGACTCTTTTAGGGAAGTTGGGGATATTAATAGTATATTTCTTTGATTCAGTAAATGTTTATAGTTGCCTATTGTGTATTAGGCATTGTATTAAGAATGGCAGATACTCAGTTTAATAATAGAAGGGGTCCAGAAATCATTAGCAACGGGAAGGAGTGCTGTGGTTAAAAGTATGAACCAAGTGCTTTGAGAGTCAAGAGGAGGGTGTGACCCCTGATCTTTTGGAGCAGGTTTTTCTTACCCTCTTAGAAACACTATCTCTGGATGGTTTAGTCAGAAAATCTTGACCATTGTCCTGTTCCTTATGCAGCCTTTATCAAATGTTCAGTTACTGGAACGTACATGCTGGTCTGGTTTTAGTTAAGCCAGTTGGTTGATAAAGTTTATATATAATTTTTTCAAACTTCTGTAGTATTAACATTTTTACGCTCATTAAACCTCTTCTGTCTACGGCCATGCCACCCTGAACAAGCCCGATCCCATCTGATCTTGGAAGCTAAGCAGGGTTGGGCCTGGTTAGTACTTGGATGGGCGACTTACCTAGGAAGACTAGGTACTGTAGGCATAAAAAATAAAGGATTGTAAACTGACAAGGTCCTTGCAATCTGTGAGGTCAACCAAGAGTTGCCTCACCTAAAAAGAAAAGTCATAAATCTTTTTTTAGACATTCTTTCTAAAAGTAAGAAGGGAAGACTTATAAAGGTTTAATGACTTGCTCAACATCACGTCCCAACTTTGTAGCAGAGCTGTAAATCAAACCCAGTTCTATCCAGCTTCAAAACATGCTTTTTCATTTGAGACATGCATTTGAAAAACAGTTCTCATCTTTTGGAGCTTACTGTCTGGTTGTGAGAAGACATACCAAAAAGGGAAAGATTAAGTTATAGTAAAAGAAATGCCAAGATTAGTTGAATTTGTTCTGACTGATAAAGGAGGGACCTGGGTTTCAGTACCTGCCCCGTCACTAATTATTTTTGTGATCACGGACAAGTTACATAATTTTTCTGAGCCCAGGTTTCTTCATTTGTTAAATGGGGATAATCCTGTTTATAAAAACAAAATGAAACAATAAATACTAAATTCCTGATACATAGAAGGCATTGAATAAGATAGGATTATTGAAAGTGTCTGGCTAGGAAACAAATGGGTCACCTGTCTGTTGTTTACACCGCAGCTTTTCTTTCTTTGGCTCTTGGGACATCCAAGGTCTCCAGAGACCCAGGCAAAGATCATTTAAAGGAGTTAGTTTCAGAAAGGTTGTCTAGAAAATACTTTTGCCTGAGGGTAAGCCATTTTTAGGAAGCGTCTCCTTGATTTTTTTTCTTCCCATTACAGTCTGCTCCTAGCTCTCCCAAGAGAAGTGAGGCCAAGGAGAGAAATATAGAATTGAAGAAGAACTAAACATCTGAGGCACCAACTGAGCCTTTTTGCCTTTAGCCCCATGACAGTGTCTGAGGTTATAAACTGTAGTTTATAAAGTTTATAAATTCTTACAAAATAGCCTTTTCTTGTGTAAAGAAAGGCTCCCTTACTTCCCCCAAAACTTCTCTCCAAATAAAACACCCTAATTGAGAGGCAGTAATAACAGGATAAGGTTTGAAATTAGAGAAAGCCTGGGTTTTAGTCCTTATTCTGGTACTTTGACAGCTTTGTGACTTGTAGATTTACTTCTGGATTTCAGTTATCTCAGTTGTAAAATGGCAATAGTCATAGCTACTTCACTGAGTTATTTTGTAGGATGAATGAGGTAATATTTATATAGGATTTGATACATTGTAGACATTGAATAAATGTTCAGTCCTTCCCCTTCCAAACATGGTAGATGACCCTTCTCGAAGACTTCTAGTTGCCTCTTAGTCTTTTGCTTTTTAGCCTTTCCTGTTTTTGTTTGTTTGTTTGTTTTTTCAATTCTCAGTTTTATTTAAATCATTGTTCTCTGAATTCTCTAAAAATGCTTTCTTTAATCACTTTAAAGTTGTGAGACAAATTGGACAAAGGGATTCTAATTAAGATTCGATTAGTTCAAAATATAGCAGAAGGATCCATGTTACAGAAAGGCCTTAAATTCACAGGGCACGTTACACTGCATGTAAACAAACCTTTCTATTGGGGTCAATGTTTGTCCTATAGGAGTACAACAGATTGATAGACTCTGAGTCTTCTTGCACTAACCAAGTAAAGTTCCTGGAAAGTGGTATAAAATACATTTAAAGGTCTAACTAGATGGTAGCAATTAATAAACACTGAGGGACATAGATAAAACCAAGTATATAATTTGTTCCATGTTTTTAGAAGCTCCTCAGTCATGTTTTCAGATAAAAAATGTGGCGTCTTTGTTCCTTTAGAACTTTGGAGGATCGAGTACCCAGTTTTCCAGCCTAGAAACTGAGGAAGAGATGTATTCAGAGATGATAGGCTCAAAACTAGTGACTAGAAAAGTTAATATTAGCAATATGTGGGAAGGGGTGGAGGTCAGGATATACCACCAGTAAAACAGGAAACAAATAAGGTGTCGAATAAAGCATTTAGTCTGTTAATTGTAGGTTGAATTTGTTACCTATCCCAAGCAACGAAATACAGGTTTGTGAAGAGCACTGCCATTTATAGTTCTCATAGGAGTAAAAGTTTAGCTAAGAATATTTACAATATGATTAGCAGTTTTAGTTGTTTGAAAGCAAGGAAGTATGTGCTCTCAGGCATAAGTAGGTCATTTAGCTCATTATATATACTGTAACATCTGAAATTAGGCTTTTTATTAAACAGAAGAAGCTTTCTGTTTGAAATTCTGAACTCTTAGGAAGTCTGTCAGGGTCAAAGTAACTTTACTTCATTTGTGTACTTCACAGTTGGACTTAGTCTAAACATTTTTAAAAACTTACAGATTTACAGAATGTTTTTGAAGTAGTATATCTTTATTTCATACCAGTGGTTTTCAAAGTGTGGTCCCTAGACCAGCAATATCAACATCACCTGGTAACTGGGTAGAAATGCAAATTCCTAACAAATCCTAGACTGGGGTCAGGGACCAGCAATCAGTCTAGTTTAATAAGCTCTCTTGGTGATTCTGACACCTACTGAAGTTTGAGAATCCTTGCCTTAAAATTATAGAAGACAGAAACACTGGGAATATTATACTAAGAGAACATTCTGTGTTATTTAGAATGTTCCACTGATTTTAGGGAATATAAATTTTTCGACTGTTCTCAGTGGACCACATAACCTTAGTTGCTGTTTGTTACCTGTACACCATGCCCTCATCTCTGTTAGTATTCCTATCATAGCACTTAACTACACTTCATTGTTAACTTCGTAAACTGGGAACTCCAGTATATAAACATAGTGAAGATGGGGACATATCTGACTTGTTCTGTTGTGTATCCTATACTTTGAGTTTATAGGATAGGTGCCTGACCCTAAAAGTAAGTCTTTCACAGTGGTTAATGATTATATCTTCCTTCATATGCCTCTCTTTAGGAAGCACTCAAATACTTGCAATCACTAAATGAACAAATGAATTAAGTTCCTTAATGATAGAAAATATTTTTGAATGCTAAGGTTCTAGCTGATGAAACTGTCTTAACCTGCAAATTGAATTACCGTGGTACATTTTTTTTCCTTTAGGACATTGGCTGAATTAGGGCTAAATAATGTTGACACTTCCCAAGAAATGGGCTTTAATTATCAGCATGTTTTCACGTTATTTTATTCTCTTTTTATAGCAACCTCATGAGGTGGATACTGTCTTCATTTTACAAAAGAGGAAACCAAAAATCAGAGCAATTAAATAATTTTTCAAAGTCCATACAAGTAGTGAGTGGCAGACACAGTAAAAACCAGTTTTCAAACTCTTAAGTACTACTTCTATCCAAGGTACTACATAGTGGAATTTTCACAGGATTTTCCATTGTATATTTAAATTATTGACTTTATTTCTTCATCAAGATGACTTTGTACTTTTTCTTGATGCTGATTTTTATTTAATTTTTTAGTTTATCCTCTTTTCACCAACTCTTATTAGTTTTGTTAAATCCATTTATTCTAAGAAATATTTGAATGTCTCTAATTAGAGGCTTCAGATGGGGGTGGAAGAGCAAATCGCTTTTATTAGAAGCAGGCTTTGGATTTCCCAGTCAACTTTATATAGCTTTTTGGTGTTCTCAATCAGTCTATCTGAAATTAGCACATTCATCTGAACTATTTGGTGTCAGTACGTGGTACTCCATGGTATTGCTATACAGACTTGGAAATTTGCCTTTGTTTATCAGAACAAAACAATTAAATTCTTTTTGTTTTATTCAGAAATTGAGAAGATTCAGAAGGGGCTTTCAAAAAAGGATGATGAGGAGAATTACTTGGATTTATTTTCTCATAAGAATATGAAGCTGAAGGAGCGGGTACTGATACCTGTCAAACAGTATCCCAAGGTAAGGTAAAAAATGCCTCACTTCTCTGAGTTGTCTTTGTAGGTGTGAGAGTCATGAGCTATCATAATGAATTCCAAAGACTGTGGTGCATCAGAAACTTAATCCAGTGAAGCTTTTCTTCCATATTTGTATACTTGTTTCTGGCAGTTGAAACAAGTCCATAACTGATAGCATAGCTGTAGCCAGGAAGGAATTATAATCTTCTTTTTATTATCAAAGAATTTTTTTCTCAAGTGTTCATTTGGGCTCCAAGTTCAAAGAAAAAAATGAACCCTGAAGAATTGTTCTGTGAAAAGATTGACCTAAAATTTAAGGAAATACAAATCCTTGACTAGATGTTTATTTTACTCAGAGTTTTACTTTTAAATAAATACTACTCTTCCTCCTCGTCTCCTTTTTCTTTTTTTCAGGAAAGCAATTAGCTATATTTAGTTTACCAAATTAGTACTACAGAAAGGGTGCCATCTGTCTGTTCTGTTCTGAGATGACTTCCTGAAAAATATTTATGTATGTTAAAGTACTAGGGGTTGTAGTGTGATATTATGGAAAGAGCACCAGACTGTTATCAGGAATCCCAAATTCAAGTCTAGAAACTGTTGGCTTTCATAACCTTAGGCTAATCACTTTTATCAATACAGCCTCAGTATATCCTTCAGTAAAATGAGAATTGAACTGTTTTAGAGGATTGTTGAAGATAAAATGAGATAATGCATGTAGAATGATTATAGGAACATGTGTATTTAGAAATCTGTTTTATTTTCTGTCAGTTCAATTTTGTGGGGAAGATACTTGGACCACAAGGGAATACCATCAAAAGACTGCAGGAAGAGACTGGTGCAAAGATCTCTGTGTTGGGAAAGGGCTCAATGAGAGACAAAGCCAAGGTAAGCTTGCATTAGTGAAAAAAGAAGACACCATAATGCCTTCCAGTAACCTAGAGTTTAGTATAGATGCCTTTCAGAAGCTAGCACTTATATACATACAAAATATGCCTCCTTTAAATTTGCATTGAATGCAAGAGATTATAAACTAAGTTAATTTACTTGCTTGGCAACCCTGAAAAAGCCTAGGCATGCGCCCTGGTGATTGTTTTCTTTCTGACTTTTGACTGTGTAGCAATGGAAACAGCAGGGACAGTTTAGGCGTTAGGAAGCTTATCTGTGAAAACTTGGAAGAGGAGCTGTACTAAAACTTACCCAGACTAAAAACACTAATGTGAACAGTACGTTCCTTTTCCAGCAACATGGAAAAGTGAGAGCAGTAGTTTTAAGTGTAAGTCTGAGGTTTAGTTAGCTGGTTTGTGTTATAGCCAGTTGGAATGTGAGGCTCACTAAACAAAGGTATTCCAAAAGGAGCCATGAGTAATCCTGACAACAGAACCTAATGCTTACTTTTTCCCTTGTCATAGCCTTATATGGTTTGCACTATTTGTAAGTGCCAAGAAAGGTCCCACCAAAACAGAATAGTCTTAGCCTTCTAGGGCCAGGTTTTTAGATGAAACATACCTGCTACAGCCTAAAAAGTTACTCTTTTAGGCCTTCTGTTTTGTTTATTCACTTATTTTGCAGTCTGTTTGACAAACATTGTTTCCTCAGACCATTTTCTTTTGTCCACTCCCATTTCTCACCAGAAGAATAGTTAGGGCTGAAGTATGTTATTCTAGCTAATGAGATTTACATAAGATATGCTTCTCTCTATTCTAACTTATTTCCTCCCCTAGAACTCCCCACACCATATAAGCAGAAAAGAAGGGCTGGTGATTAACAGCTCCACCTGGAATTTAAAAGCATATGCTTGGCAATGAATAAATTAATCAGTGATTGGCAAACAATATGGAGATTCCTCAAAAAATTAAAAATAGAGCTGCTATAAGTACAGCAATTGCACTTCTGGGTATTTATCCAAAGAAAACAAAAACAGTAATTCAGAAAGATAGATAGATAGATGCACCCTTATTATCACTGCAGCATTATTAGTAATAGCCAAGATATGGAAGCAACCTAGATATCCATCAATAGATGAATGGATATAAAAATTTTTAATTAAAAAAATTAATCAGTGTCACCCCAACAATTTTAATGAAAATTTTTAATTTAAAAAAATGGATGAAAGGATAAAGAAGACATATACACACACACAATGGAATATTATTCAATGATAAGAAATAATAAAATCTTGCTGTTTGCCACAACTTGGATGCACCTAAAGAGTATCATGCTAAATCAAATAAGTCAGACAGAAAGACAGGTATTATATGATCTCATTTATATTTGGAGCCTTAAAAAAGAACAAAATAAGTGCATAAACAAAACAGAAACCAACCTATAGGTGCTGAGAACAAGCTGATTGTTTCAAAGGGGAGGGGGTAAGGAATGGGAATAAAAATTCCCTGGAATTAATTTAAATTATTATATTGTGCTTTTTCTTTTCACTTTTATTTGTCAAAAAATTACTAAACAGAGAAATTATCAAATGTGACCCATAACCAAGGAAGAAAATCAGTTAATAGAAAAAGACCTAGAAATAATAGAGATTATAGGGTTTGCAGACAAGACTTTAGAATAGTTATAAATATAACAAATTTTTCAAGGATGTAGAGGTAAAGAACATAATTAGAAAGATGGAATATGTAGAAAATGAAAATGTAATAGTTAAAATGCAAATTTCACTGGGTGAGCATAAGATAATGTAAGACACTAAAGGAGAAAACGGAGTGAGTGGAAATTAGATAACTTAAAGACTGGGCTATTTAGGCCAAAATATAAAGATAAAAAAAAAAGGCTAAAAGAAAATAAACAGCGTCTTAGTTACCTGTGGAGCATTAGCATGCAATCTAGAATATGTGCAGTTATAGTTGTAGGAGAGGAGAGAGTCAGGGACAGAAAACAATTTAAGAAAAAAATTAAATAAATATTTGCCAATGAGTGAATGGATGAATGAATGAATCAATCTATCGATCGATGATTGGTAAATACTTATTATCTGAATGGAGACTGGAATTAAGTTTGTCTCTTCTATACTTTCTGATAAGGGCTCCAGTGAATACACCAGGGATTCAAGGCACACTATTTAACTTTTAGCAGCAGACTGATTGCAGGTTTAGCAAGTTGTGTAAATTGCTATCTCCAGAGCTTATTTTACTCTTATACTTTACTGGTTTTCTTAGATGTTAGGGTTACTTCTTGCTGTCTCTTTGACCTTGGAAGTAAAGGTGTTGTTTGCTCCCTAGTCCACCTGACATGATTTTCTTTTTATATTTTTCCACAGGAGGAAGAGCTGCGTAAAGGTGGAGACCCCAAATATGCCCACTTGAATATGGATCTGCATGTCTTCATTGAAGTCTTTGGACCCCCATGTGAGGCTTATGCTCTTATGGCCCATGCTATGGAGGAAGTCAAAAAGTTTCTAGTACCAGTAAGGAAATTTGTATCCTTTTATCTTTTGAGCAAGAGATAACTGTGATCTCGTACTGTTGCTAAGGCAGGGGTTCTTAACCAGGACCGCTGCATAACCTGAAATTGCACACGAGATTCTACTCTTATGTTAATTTCTCTGAAGTGGTCCATTATGTATACCTAGTTTTCAAAGCACTATGCCCCAAGGCCACTCTACCCCATCCTTGTCTAATGCATCCTTGTCTAATGCGGGTTTTAGTTGTATACCAGTATCTTAGGTCTATGGTGTGACTGGCATTTTAACATCTAGTTAAAGGTTTACCAGGGTCTTCACTAAACAAAGTATTTTGGTTCTAGCGTAGAACCAGGAGGCTGTGAATAGGAAAGTAACTAAGATGGTCATAAAACCTCTGCACTCAAGGGTTTCCGTTCTAGACTAGAGAGTCTAGAGGATAACAGCAAGAAACTTCTAGTATCCAATGGATTAATGGATTAAATTTCCAAGAGGAGTTTACTGAGGTAGAGTTTGATTTGAAATAGACATGATTAGTACAGGCTTGACTGTTGATGTTAAACAGATTGGTGTACACCTTCTTTGAGTATGTAACTGAGGTGCAGGAAGAGTTGGGACGGACCAGGTTACCCTCCTACCAGATCTTGCTTATTACCACCTGGTCAGAGGGTCCATTCTTTGAATAAGTAGAAAATGGTGTGATTTTTGCCTTTTAGCAAGGTTTAGTATGTTTACTATAATAACCAAGGATGAATCTGGAACCTTAGAAAGCATTTGGAATACTATTCAAGTAGAATTGAGTAAACATCATATTCTCATTGCTAAAACTGGGAGGACGTGAGCTACGGTTCTTGGTTTTCTTATATATGTTAAATAAGCAAGTTGGAACTAAATATGGTGTCAGAGGATGTGAGAATTGGTAGAGCAAAAATTTATAAGCAATGTGTACCTATACTGCTGAGCTCCAAGGATTCTGTCTGAAGTGTCTCAGCAGCTGCTTTGCTTCCAAGTACCTCACATTCTTTAGAATGTTCAACATGAAACAGCCAATTTTAAATATCCTTGAGAAAAATAGAGTTGGTAAGAATTTCCCTTAAGGGGATTCTTTTGACTTTTTTCGAGGTGTTATACTGAAGCATCCTGAGCCATCCAGTTTCTAAAGAACTGCAGGGGAGTGCCCCTCTATGTATCATTACTCTCGCATATTTCTCAAGAAGGATAGATAGGTTTACAAGGCTTCCATGTAAGCAGATCTTCAAAAATGATGCATGCCAGGGATATCTGAGTTTCCTCTGCTGATGTGGCAGTTGGGAGACTGAGCAAATTGGCTGTCATTGGTCGCTTGATTCTCCGGTGTGATGTATGAGTTGAAGGAGTTGAAGAGCTATGGAAGGGCATATCTGGTGACTAGAATCTTCTGTTCTTGAAGCTGTAGACACTTGTAATATATAAAAATGCATGAAATATTAAGACTGAATGGCTCTCATTAAGAAATATGTGAAAAGATTTGCAAATGGTATTTGACTCAATTCTTCCCTCTTGTGAAGAAAAGAAAGTGGTCCTATTTTTGCATCCATGACCAGAGCCGTTCATTTTCCCCTTAGAACCATTGACTGTACCGGAGAGGCTTCCTAGTACAGTGAGAAGAGCACTGGACTGGGAGCTTTATCTGCATCATCTTGGACAAGTTGTTATTTCACTTTTATTAGCCTCAGGTTCCTTGTTCATCCCAAACAATATGTTAAGTATCTGGTAGGTTCCTAATACTACGCTTGGGTCTGAAGTTAAAAAAATAGCTCCTGAGGAGCTCACAATCTAATGAGAAAGACAATTGTAAAATGTAGTAAGTGCTTGGGTAGAGAAAATTGACATGGTGCTATGGGAAAAGAGAAGGGACTGGGGGCGGGGGTAGCATCGTGAGAAAGTTTTTCAAAAGAGGTAATATTTTAGATTAAATCTTGTAAGAGGGGGTTAGTGTCCCACAGGTGGAGCGAAAAAAAGGCAATAGTCTAATGATTGAAAGCCTAGATTTTGGTAATTCTGAATTCTCTAGAGTCATTCATTTATTAGCTCTATGTCCTTAAGCTGGTTTCTTTATACTCCCTGAATCTGTTTTCCCAACTGCAAAATGGGAAGATCTGTCTCCTTCAGGGTTATTTTGAGGATTAAACTGAGAAATCTATATAAAGCTTATTATACAATGCCCAGTGCATACAGCTTAATGGTAGTGGGTTTTATTATTCTTGGAAGAGGAAACTATTTGTAAGAATGGATGTGTAAGAGTGTGCAGGGTTCTGAACTACAAGTTGTCTAACGTGGCTTGAAAGGCAGTTATACCTGGAGAGAAGATGGAAGTAATGATCTGGAAAGCTAGGCAGGGCCCATATCATGGAAAGCTATAACATTCAAATGAAGACAAAGTACTTTCCTCAAGGGTGACAGGTAGAATGCCATTTGACTTCGGAGATTGAATGACCTGAGACTTCATCTGAGCTTTCAAAGCTGTTCTTAGTATCCAAAGCTCATGTGGATTAGATGATTTCTCAGCAAAGGGTGGAGATGTTGTACAACACTCCTTCGCATTATCTTTTATTTGCAGGATATGATGGATGATATCTGCCAGGAGCAGTTTCTAGAGCTCTCCTACTTGAATGGAGTACCAGAACCCTCTCGCGGACGTGGGGTGCCAGTGAGAGGCCGAGGAGCTGCACCTCCTCCTCCACCTGTTCCCAGGTAAAAATAATGGAAACAACCAGAAATAGGATTTAAATTTAACTGCTAGTACCATCTCTCTCTCAATGGTGCTCTTATCTCCAGCTTAGAAGGGGGTCTCAAGATTTTTGTTTTTTGTTATTATTTATTATTATTTATGCCTATAGCACCTGGTCTTCGTAGGTGGTTTCCCATTCAAGTACTAACCAGGCCTGACCCTGCTTAGCTTCTAAGATCAGATAGGATCGGGCTTGTTCAGGGTGGCATGGCTGTAGACCATGAACCGTGGCTCCACTGGGGCACAAACCCAGGACCTTCTCCGTGTAAAGCAGACGTGCTAACCACTACACTATGGAACCACGTCCGGGTCTCAGGATTTGTATCCTGTATCAAGTGGAACTATAGATCTTGGGCACTTTGGCCATAGACAAGTGCAGCAGTCCTGCCGAAACTTTTGGTCTTTTAATTTTGGACAATTCTAGTATTTTTAAGTGGTCTCTGACTTTAGAATTTTACCTTTTGTCACTGTTCTTTATGGAGGGTTTAGACTCGCCAAGGCAGTCCACTAATGAGACATTCACAGGTCCACTGTGGGACCTGGAGAGTCTTCCATTATGGGTCCCATACATTCCTCTATGTATTAATAATAGTCTTTTTAAGGCATCATAAAATCTAGCTAGCTCCAGAATTTGCAGACAAATCTGAACATGAAAATAGCCTGTTTATAAAAAAGCTCCATTTAAAATAAACTTTTTTTGCAGGGGCCGTGGTGTTGTACCACCTCGGGGGGCTTTGGTGCGTGGAACTCCAGTGAGAGGAGCCATCACCAGAGGTGCCACTGTGACTCGAGGAGTGCCACCCCCACCCACTGTGAGGGGTGCTCCAGCACCAAGAGCACGGACAGCAGGCATCCAGAGAATACCTTTGCCTCCACCCCCTGCACCAGAAACATATGAAGAATATGTAAGAAGTTTGAACAGTGTGCCATTTCCCAATACCTAGAAGGTTGCCAAAGGAAGTTGAATGACAGGGCCTTGACCCTTATGTAGGTGGCAGGGACTGCCTATAAGATTTGGAATCTGCTCTCTTCTCTTGTAGAATGTTAAACTATGAAAAGATTTCCATTTTAAGCATGACTTACTATATGTGCAAATTAACAGGAAATGAGCTGTGCCTAAGGAGTCTCCCACTACTACCTCTACTAAAGTTCAACTTTGTACCTTGTTTCCCGCCCACACTTGAAGGTTGTTGTTTTGTTTTGATTGGTTGCTTGGCTTGTTTTATTTATTTATTTTTAAAAATATAACCTTTTCTCTCTTGACTGTTCTACAATGGATGTTAATATTTTGGGAGGAAATTCCACATTCTATTAATCTAGAAGCCTGCCTAATCCTTCCCGTGGGATATAATTAACTCCCCTACTCTCTGTGTTTGACTTTCTATTTTATTTTATTCATTCTAGGGATATGATGATACATATGCAGAACAGAGTTATGAAGGCTACGAAGGCTATTACAGCCAGAGCCAAGGGTAAGTCAGGCAGTAGAGGTGCTGTTTCTTGTATTTGGGAAGGAGTTGGAGGAACTGAAGAGATTTTGGCAGCACAAATCTAAGGAGCAATGTGGCTTACGTTTTGAGGGTATCTCCTCTGCTTTTGACATCTGTAAGGTACATACTTGGATCTGCAAGTTTGGATAATTTTGAGTTCTAAATTATATTATAGAATCTGGGCATAGCAGATAAAAAATGCCTGAGCTGTGACTACATGGAAATAAAGGGAAATGCCTTTAAATTACTTTATTATTTTAAAATAACACAGCCACATTAAAGTTACATAAAAGTTTAAAAGGAAACTGGAATCCCACTGCCATAACTTAGGTTCTTTTTTGCACTTTTCTTAAGAAACATTTTTTTGTGTATGTTTATATGTATCTTATCTGTGATTGATTTAAAAGGCGTCTCTTAATTCTACAGTGGGGACAGAGCAACTCTTCATGGTTGCTTATTTTCTTCCAATGAGCCCATGAAGACACTATGGTTAAGATGGTCAGTTTTGGGTTGTACTTTTTCACTTTAAATTGTGTGGTATCTATTTTTCTTTGCTATAGTTGTTACTTTTTTTATGAGTACATAGTTACACATGTACTCATGTTTTGAAAATATTTTGTGGTGATGGAATGAACATTTTCCTGTGTTAGATACAGTAAAATGACTGAAATATGGAAGTATTTGGGTGAAAGGTGAAGCTGAAATGTAGTTTCTATATAGCTCTCTAACACTCTGTCTTTGGCTTTTAGGGACTCAGAATATTATGACTATGGACATGGGGAGGTTCAAGATTCTTATGAAGCCTATGGTATGTCTTTATTTCTGTGGTAGGGCAGAATGTGCAAGTTAAGTGCCTAAGAGAATGCTTGATTATTGGGAGTCAGACAGTCCTACAACTGAGGAACTGAGGGGAAACCTTTAAAGGCCAAGATGTTGGTAGATGTGACAATAGGAATCCTACTTTTATTTAAATTTTGTGGTATACAGTAGAAAGAGGGACTACTAAAGTGAGATAAGGGTACTATTCCTCTTGGAAGGCTAAGTAGATGTCCTAAACTTAGGGCTCAGGTCCAGCTTGGCCTGGTTGGAACAGCAGACTTTTAAACTGATGTTGGGTTTTTTTCCCTACTTTAAGCCAGGAAATGGTTAGGCCTGGGTTACATTCCTGGGCCTTTGCTGCTGATACCTAGGCCACGTTGATGGATAATAAGAATTTAATTATATCCATCTCTTCTCTTCTACCCTACCTCACTTTAAAAAATAATTTTGGATCTCATCGAAAGAATCTCAATATAGAGGAAATAGCTAAAAGGGACCTAGATGGCAAGTAGCTAGCCAGAGCAGGTTAGGGCAGAATATACTTTTTATACTTGGATTAGAGGCCATAGAGGCTGGATCCAGTTCAGGGCAATACTGGCACCAAGATCCTTACTGTCTTGGAGACATCTCAACTCACTTCTTGATCCCAAAAGAGCTATAGGGGTTAGAATGGCTATAGGACCAAACTGCCTTCCCTAAGGTTTGGTTGAAAACACAATGCTCAAGAGCGTTCTTAAGAGCCAATTATGGCCTAGTGTTAATGGGCCCAGAGGGAGTGCCATATGGCAATGGATAGAAAGACAGCAGCCTTTTAAATGTGAAGTATGTTCAGCATACCTGAAGGAATTCCAGAGTCCTTGCCAAGAGCTTCAGCAGTTGACAGTTCAACTTAAGATACTAGTTGATGGTCTCCTCTTTCCCCTAGCTGAAAAAGGGGAACCTCTTAGGGACTCCCACAGATGGACAAGCTGAGCTTAGCTAATCAGCACAGTATATAGTAGCCAATCAGCTGTTTGCCTAGGAAAACTTTTACTAGTTCTAGCTAAATGGTACTGGACAGTTGCCATCAGTGACACTACACTACTCTGTTCATATGCCACTATTTAGAAGGGTGGTATGATTACCCTGGGGTGTTTCTGTCGGTGAGGCAGCACAATGGGGCCTCTGTATATATTGACTAAATTGCATTTCTGTTTTGCCAATAAAAGACTGGACTGAAAGAGGCAGGCTGCTCCTTGTGCTCCTGGTATGACCTTGGCATGGTTAATCTGTTCTCATTTCTGCTTTTATAAACAGAATTAGAAAAATAAACTATCTTGGATGTGGTTCCATAGTGTAGCAGCTAGCACGTCTGTTTTACACACAGAAAGTCTTGGGTTCGTGCCCCAGTGGAGCCACAGTCTATGGTCTACGGCCATGCCACCCTGAACAAGCCCGATGTCTGATCTCAGAAGCTAAGCAGGGTCAGGCCTGGTTAGTACTTGGATGGGAGACCACCTAGGAAGACCAGGTGCTGTAGGTATTAATAATAATAATAATAATAATAATGAAAAATAAACTATCTTGTTGGAACCCAGAAGCCCCTTAGAAAGTGATGTCTGTTTTATTCTAGGTATATAAATAGGCTTAGATAGGGCTCTGTGCAACTTTAGATCTGTGTAGGGGTTTTTAGATTTACAGTGATGGAGGCAGATGTTTGTGAATACAGGCAGCTGGAGAAATACTTCAGGAATGAACTGGCACAGGTAACGTATGGGGGTGTGTGGGAAGAATAAGCATATAAACACAACTCATTTTTATGAGAGGTCAGCTCTAGAAACCATCCTGTCCTTCAGTCTTTTTCCTGTCACAAAGGAAAATGGTTTGGAAATATCAACCATGTTGTCTGGCTTCTCTGGACTGTTAGCATAAGAAAGAATTCTCCTAATCAGTGTTCTAAATACATTGATTGTACCTCCACTGCCAGAGCAGTAGACCAGCAGGGGAGACTCATGAAATGTGGCCCTTTCTTCTCTCAGAGAGCCAGAGGACACTTCTTCACAGAGAAACCTGACTTAGCTGTTGCATGGAAAGGGAGCTACCTGCTTCCAGTCAGAAAGACTTCCAGAAGTTGTCACTTTACCTGAGGCTTTCTACTAAATTGTTTTGGGAACAGGAAAGGGCATTGTGACCCACCGAAATTGATCTCACTGTCTCAGCAAGGTGTTGGGGCTGGAGTATAGATCATGTTGCCAGTGGAAATTTTCTGGAAATTACTGCAAGCCTTTCTGAGCTGTTCCCTTATGTCCATCCACTCGAAACGGCCACAGTTTCCCAACGACAAATTGGGAAATTGTCTAAGTTACTCAGGAGGGCCAAGCAGAGGGAAAAGCAAGGACCACTGGGGAGGTGGCAAGACATTGGAAGCAAAGCGGTGTTTTTGGTGATCTTTACAAGGTGACCTACCCCTGCACATCCCAGAATCCCATCGGCCCATGGTTTATAAACTGTTCTTGCTTTCCCCCCAGGCCAAGACGACTGGAATGGGACCAGGCCGTCGCTGAAGGCCCCTCCAGCTAGGCCGGTGAAGGGAGCATACAGAGAGCACCCATATGGACGTTATTAAAAACAAACATGAGGGGAAAATATCAGTTATGAGCAAAGTTGTTACTGATTTCTTGTATCTCCCAGGATTCCTGTTGCTTTACCCACAACAGACAAGTAATTGTCTAAGTGTTTTTCTTCGTGGTCCCCTTCTTCTCCCCACCTTACTCCATTCTTAACTCTGCATTCTGGCTTCTGTATGTAGTATTTTAAAATGAGTTAAAATAGATTTAGGAATATCGAATTAATTTTTTAAGTGTGTAGATGCTTTTTTTCTTTGTTGTTTAAATATAAACAGAAATGTACCTTTTATAATAAAAAAGAAGAAGTTGAGTAAAAAAAAAAAACCACAAACCTGTTAGTTTCAAAAGTGACATTGCTTGCTTAAAGGTTCTGAAGTTAAGGCTTGTTAACTTTATCTTAGTTTTGATTTGAGGCATCCCGTAAAGTTGTAGTTGCAGAATCCCAAACTAGGCTACATTTCAAAATTCAGGGCTGTTTAAGATCTAAAATCACAAACGTTAACGGCAGTAGGTGCCACCATGTAAAAGTGAGCTCAGACGTCTCTAAAAACGTTTCCTTTAAAAGCACATGGCGGTTGAATCTTAATGTTAAATTTTAATATGAAAGATCCTCATGAATTAAATAGTTGATGCAATTTTTAACATTAATTGATTTAAAAAACAACAACAAAATTAGGTTTGTAAAACTGACTTTTTCATTATGTGGGTTTTGAAATCTAGCCCCAGACATACAGTGTTGAGAGATACTTAGTGGGGAGTAGGTTTTGAAGAGGCTAATTGGGGGAGAGGGGCTGGCCACCTGAACTGAATTTGATGCAGAGCTTTTTAGCCACAAATAATCCTACAAATAGTACTAATAATTAAAATTTCAGTATTTAAAAAGACAAAGTATTTTGTCCATCTGAGATTCTGCACTCCATGAAAAGCTCACTTGGACACTGGGGCCAAAAGCTGACGATTTTCTTAACAATTGTCAATATTGAATTGTTCCCAAGGTAGTTAGTCAAGTATGTCTCAACACTAGCATGATATAAAAAGGGACACTGCAGCTGAATGAAAAAGGAATCAAAATCCACTTTGTACATAAGTTAAAGTCCTAATTGGATTTGTACCGTCCTCCCATTTTGTTCTTGGAAGATTAAATGCTACATGTGTAAGTCTGCCTAAATAGGTAGCTTAAACTTATGTCAAAATGTCTGCAGCAGTTTGTCAATAAAGTTTAGTCCTTTTTTAATCAAAGTAAATGTGATGAATTGTCATTTTTGTGGGTGGACAATAAAATAGTTTTCTCTTTCAAATAAACTTAAATTAACTCTAAAGTTAATGGGCTTGTTAAAAGTTGGAGACATTCTTAAAAGTGGTGGGGGGGATTTTATTTTAAGTTTACCAAAAAAAAATTTTATTGAGTTGTTAAGTTTTAGTTTAAAAATAACCAAAGCTTTTTCACCCCCTGGAAGTTGTTGAAAACAGTTTGATCTAATCCTATCACATCTAATTTCTGGAGAGAAAAACCCAACTAAACCAAAACTTGGATTGGTTTCCATACATAGGCCTCAATATTTGAAGCGCCAGCCACCTTAGTTTGCATCTTCTGTAGAGCCCCTAGGTGATCCTAAGAGTGACACCAAATAATCTCTGTGAGCTTGGAAAGGGATAGCACCTGCCTTTAGAGATGACAGTTCACCAAACCCTGGATGCCTTTAAGGGTTTCCCTTCTAATCCCAGAAATGCTGTTAATTCAGCTGAGCTAGGGCAGGATGTGGCATGATAGGCTGGCTCTGAACTCCCTCCTGAGAGACCAAGAGAAGAAATGATGGAATTGGTTGGCCCTGTTTCCAGTCCTCAATGTAATTTTCAGGGTTCTCATGTCTTCTCTAAGGGAGCCACCTGAAACTGCTCGGGGGTGAAAAATCCTCTTGTATGAAGTGCCAAGCTGCCTGCAGCAGTGCATGATGGACATTTTTTTTCTTTTTAAAACACACCAACAAAAAAAATGTATTTGTAGATTTGTGATAAAGTGTAAATAACTGAATTTTCAACCATGGTTTGAAGTCAGCTTTCAGGGCATTATGTCTTGTTTTGATGAAAAGAGATCACTCTATACCCCCCTTTTTAAAGGAAAATTATCGCAAGAGAATCAGGATGTGTAAAGCTAACATGCATCGCAAAAAACCAAAGGTAACCTAAATGTCTGATTTTAATAGCACATATTTCTCTTTTACATAAACTGTGACAGCAACTTGCATAAACAATTCTTTAGCTGTTAATTTTAATGTTAAAACTTTGCAAAACTTGTTTAATAAAAATAGCTGTAAAAAGAAACACCATATGCTGCCGCATAAATTAGCCATAACTCTTAATAATCCTGCCCATCACAAATGATCTGTAATGTAACCTGGGCACAAAGTCTGACATCTTAAATGACACATTGTAAAATTTCAATGACTGTAGATTAGATCTGCTCCCCAAAGTAAAGCTTTCTGCTCAGCTATTTTAAAATGTACAAGGATGAGCCCCTATAGGTCCCCATATTGATATTCACAATGAAATATTATTTAAAATTTCCTTAAAGTTGCATGTTTCTCTCCTGTAATGTGTAAACTGCATGCAGGATCTCTATCTTTTATTTTGTATGTCTTTAAAACTTCCTCTTCTAAAGACTGATCTCTTACTTCTCCATTTTCAGGTCATTGAAAATTCCTGAGACATTTCCTGGAGTAGAATGGGTAGTGAAGACCCAGGTCAGGTATGTTAAGGTGGCTTTCTATTAAGGATGTGGGACTTTAATCCTAATTATAAAATAGTTTTGCCAGGAGGTGGCCTGGGATGTGACCAAAGGGCAAATCTTTCACATGATTAATACCATATTTATACCGTCACCACATTTATATGTTCTTTTACAGTACATATTGAATTTACTTATAATGACTAGATAGTATCAGTTTATGATAATTAAATCCCACTCTATCCTGTTAGTAACCTGACTGGGCAGTGTTTCATTTGGAGTTCATTGGTTGTAAGCAACAAAGGGACTGGCTAATGTAAATAAAAGGGAATTTGCTAGGATGTTAGGGGCTCATAGATTTAGTATGAAGGCTAGAAAATCTGGCTTGGGAACCAGAGTGGCTTCATAGAACTAAAACAGCAGTGGTAGATCACAGGAATGGTCCTAAAGCCGGGATAGCTGCTTAGGCATTATTGCTGGAATAAGTAAATTCTAGCCATCTTTAGTTTCTTTCTCCCTCAAGATTCAAATTCTAGGGAGAGAGTGTCAGGCCAGAGTAGCTTGAGTCACATACCCCTACTTGACCAGTATGCAGTAAGAAAAAGCTCATTCATCAAAAGGAAGTCAGGGCATTACTAAGAAAGAGAAATGGATTCTGGGCAGCCAAAAAACAATTGTCCATTAATATCTGTATTTTACAAAAGTAACAGACTTAATTAGGTTAAGTGACCTCACAGGGTCACATAATTAGTATTGTTAGTAAAGCCTAAGTTTATATGTTGCCAGAACCTAATATCTTGACTCTTATACAGCTTATAATCTAAGGAAGGGGTTTTTCTTGCACTTAGGAGACCCCTGGTAGGGATATTGTTTTGAAAAGACATAGAACCTGACAAAAACCTAGAGTTGAATCTATGAGCTATCTTTAGTGATAATGTACACCTTACAGTGGTTGTCAAACTGAAGGAGTTCTGTATAAAAGGCCGACCAGTCCAATGCCCTATACATAATAAATATTAGTATTCTTCCCCTAAGAAAGTTTAACCCCCTGGGCTGAGTAGTTGGGTTCACTCTGACAACTAAATGAACCTTCCTGTTGCTTGAAGCCATCAAGGCACTAACTGGATGATTTTTCCCTCTGCCATGAATAATTGTTAGGGTTCAGATGGCCCTGGGGAGACAAGATCTACCTAGGTTCACTAAAGGCACATGTAGCCTTTGACAGAAATTGGCCTTCTCGGACATCAGTTCTTCAAAAACCACTTCTCAGCCGGAAGCCTTTCAGATTTGGAGACTTTAAGGAGGGCCATGTGTCTTGAGCATGGTTTTGGGCACCCATGAAGTCCTCAGTATGATACTGGTCACATAGATGGCTAGGAAAATTTAAGGGAAAGTCCCAGGATACAGAGAAGTTAGTCTGAACTCTGCCTAGTGTAGTCTTACAAACAGAATTTTAGGGAATCATCTTTCTTTATTTGGCCTGTAATTTGTGCTTGGAAAGGCAGGTTCCACTGGTAGCAGACCCAGCCCTGTCCATGGTCTGCCTATTCTCGATGTGTAGTTTAGTCAGTTGGTCCAGTGTTTTCTGTAGCTTTCTGTCACTGCCTATAAACTTTTATTACAGCTCTATAAGCTTTAGAGCCAGGCAAGACTGAAACCTGTCCTAGCTCTGCCTCATCATAGCCTTTGTCTTTGTTTTGACAAAAACAACCCTTAGCCCCTCTCATTTATCATCAAGTGAAGTTGATAATAATAGCTAACATTTATCACTATGTGCATCATAATATCCTAAGCAGTTAAGGATTATCTCTTGATCTTCTTTACTTTTTTCTTTTTTAATTGGAATAAAAGTCACTTAACATTGCTGTGCCATTCACCTTGCCGTGAAAATTCAAAATGCTGTGTAATCATCACTTTTTAATTCCACAAAGTTTCCATTACCTCAAAAAGAAATCCGATACCTGTTACTTGTCACTCCTAATTCCTCTCTGTCCCCTGCCCCTGGTAACTACTAAGCTACTTTCTCTTTCTATGGATTTGCCTGGACATTTCATATAAATGGAATTGTATAACATGTGCCTTTTGTGATTGGCTTCTTTCACCTTGCATAATGCTTTCAAGGTTCATCCGTGTTATAGCATGTATCAGTACTTCATACAAATGATAGGAAACATGTTACTTGCAAAAGCAGCCCATTTAATTTAGGACAGCTCCAAGTATTGGAAGTTTTCTCTCATGTTGAATGTGTCACTCCAAAAACTTATAGTGGTTTTACTTTGGACCCCTGAATATCCTTTCAAGTATTTGAAGATTATTTTCATTCAGGTTTCTTTCCTAGCTCTAAAAGTTTTTTTGTTAGACTTTCTAGATCTGATTTTCAAGAAAAACTAGAAATTTAGATTTTATATACTGCCAATTGTTTAACATTTGCTCACATTTGTATCAGTTCCTGTAAAACAACCACTGCAAGCCAAATACTGCCCATAGCCTACCAGTTTGCAGCTTTGGGTAGCTTCTATTTGCACAAATTAAGGATGCGTTAGGATTATTAGGGTATAATTTATGTACCATACAATTCAACCATTTAAAGTTTACAATTGAATGGTTTTTAGTACAGTCATGTACAGCATAACGATGTTTTAGTCAACGATGGACCATGTATACAGTGGTGGTATACCATCTAGCCTAGGTGTGTAGTAGACTATACCATCTAGATTTGTGTAAGTGCACTGCATGATAGTCACACAACAACAAAATTTTTCAGAATATATCTCCATCATTAAGCAGCTCATGCTTGTATATACAGAGTTGTACAGTCATCACCACAATCAAGAAACGCCCCAAAAAGACACACCATGCCCTTTAGCCTCACCCCTGCACCCCAGTCCACTTATCTTCTCCAGCCACAAATCTGCTTTCTGTCTCTATTGACTTGCCTATTCTGGACATTTCATGTAAATGGAATCATATAATATATACTCTTTTTTGATAGGGCTTCTTTCACTTAGCATAATATTTTCAAGCTTTATCCATGTCCTTTCAGTGCTTCACTCCTTTTATTGTCAAATATTATTTCATTGTATGCATATACCTCATTTATCCATTCATCTGGACATTTAGGTTGTTTTCATTTTTTTTGTCTGTTTGAATAATCTACTATGAACATTCCTGTACAAGTTTTTGTGTGGACATATGTTTTAATTTCTTAGGTATAGACCTAGGGGAGGATTGCCGAGTCATTTATCTGTTGTTTTGTTGCTTGTGCTTTTAGTATTATAGATAAGAAGCCATTGTCTCATTCAGGGTCACAAAGATTTTATACTTATTTCCTCCTAAGAGTTTTATAGTTTTAATTCTTACATTTAGGCCTATGATCCATTTTGCATTAACTTTTGTATATGATGTGAGATGGGGATTTCATATTCATTCTTTTGCATGTGGATATCCAGTTGTCCCAGCCCTATTTATTGAAAAAACTTTTCTTTCCCTGTTGAATAAGCTTGGCACCCTTATTGAAAA